AGCCATTGAAGGATGTTGGACTGATGTTTTTTTTTTAAGATTGATTTATGTATTCATATAGATTTGGGGTACAGGCCAGAGATGCGAAGAGTGAGAGGATTCACCAGAGACAGAACGGGGAGCAGAACAGGCAGATCGACGAAGTACACTGCTGAGGGTAGCAGTGGGCAGGTCAGGAGAGGTCTGCCTCGCCTTGTGGATCTCCTCCAGGGCAGGCAGGAATCAAACTCATGGGGAAGTGGCTTAAGCTTCTTAGTGCTGTGCTTTAACCTGCTGCGCCACCAGGGAGGGCCCTGGAACTGATGGTTTTTATAAAATCTTCTTCTAATTTTGCAGAATGTTCTATTAGTTTATTTCCTATCCTTCAACATTATGAAAATTAAATGTAGTTACATAAAATAATTTATCATATACCAGTTATAGAAAAACCATACTGTCTAAAATAAGGCGTGTGCTCTTATTTTCAAAACACATGAGCTCTGCCTATTATAAGACTAAATCAGTAATGAATCAGTTTGATAAAGTGAGTAAAATCAAATGTGTAGACATCAAAAAACAGCATGCTCTTGACAACATCAAGCAAGAGTATTATGATGATGATGGTGATGAGGAATGAGAAAGAAGATAAAACTAGTATTCTTTTGGTGCCATTGATGTTGAAAATTTTCTTTTCTACTATAACTAACTACTGGACTAACTTTGAAAAGCACACAGGACTATGGTGATGGGTGAAGTGGTGGTGGGAAGTCCATGGGGATTACAACTGAGGTGAAAAACTGCACAAAATGAAGAATGATGTTTTATATATATATATATATATATATATATATATATATATATTCCAAATTAGAGGAATTAGACCTTGAAATCTGTCCCTCTGTATTTTCAGTGCCAAGGAACCTGTCTTTACTTTTGTTATCACAGGAATATTTGTAACTAATTATTAAAAAATGATTTAAGCTATTTATATAAAAGTTTAAATGTAAGGATATTGAAAACATTCTGATTAGATAATTTCAGACAATTGGATATACTTTTGATAACTAATTTATAGCTACTTTAATTATTATGTTGATGTTATGATAAAGGTTTTTCAGGAAAATTAATACAGTAGTTATTTTATCAATATTTTGACTCATACACAGACTGAAAGAAAAATAAAGATTAATGATTGAGCAACAAATATTCTACATTGTTCTAAGCATTTTTTTCCATAATCTGATAAGGGGTTGCATAATTAGTAGCAGTAGCTGAACCTGGAACTTCCGCAGAGCCCAGACCTGTGGATTAGTAAGAAGAAAGTTGGTGAAGTGCTTTGATGCTGGATCTAATGAGACCTGCTGGGTACAGTTTGGGATACTTTTTATTAACTTTTCAATTTATACATTATTTGAATTTTAACAAAGATGCCTCAAGGAGCAAAATAATTAAGGTTGGAGGAATTCACTTTTTCTTGCCAGGTTTTTATTTTTAAAGATTTATTTATTTATGGATACAAGAACTGGGGTACAGGCCAGAGGGGTGGAGTGAGGTGAGAGTATTCACCAGAGACAGAGTGGGGAGCAGAACAGGCAGATCTACTGAAATACATAGCAGGTGAGACAGCAGAGGTCTGCTGCACCGTGTGGGTCACTCCTTGGCTGGGGATCAAACTTGTGCTGCAGTGGCTGCAGATAACTTCATAGTGCTGTGCTGTGCTTTAACCTGTTCTGCCACTAGGGAGGGCCCTGGCCATGTATTAAGGGAAACAAGTCATTAAGTCATTCAGAAAAAATTGTGTCTCCTTATGTCTTGCTGAAATTATTCTAGGTAACTATAGCTCCAAATCGCCAATGTCATGGTGAGTAATTTTTAATCCCAGGACTCCTACTGAAGTTTCCTATGATACATTAAAAAAGACATTCAGTGCATTTTCTGCTGAGTCTGGTTGGGAGTGTATTTTATTTTACTTTACCATGGTATTTCTGGCTCTTGGCAGCCAATGTCAAGATAGAGGATGACCAGTCTTCTGTCTTCACCATAGAAACAACATTCAGGACATGTTTGGACCTGCCTAGATCTGTTGAGAAGTGGTTAGTGTGGAAGCTTCTCTCAGAAGACAGTTGGAGCAGAATGCTTTGAATTCTTGGACTATAATAGAAGGTTACTTATAGTATTAGAGAAAAACTTCATTCCATCTCAGACTAATTAAACTTCTGAGCTCACCATTCTAACTAAATGTTTAGAGTTGGGAGTAACAGTGCTACACAATAAATTCAAGCTACAGAATGAATTTACTGGGAAAATTCAAGCATATTAACTGAGATTTATACCAATAAATGCTAATTATTAAATACTAAAAAAAATAGCTCAGGGATCAAAAATATTATTTAACTTTCTTGACCTGATGAGTAGGGAGAGTAGATTTTAGAGTAAGAATGGAAAAACTGGATAGAAGGAAGAGGCAGAGGCATAGCATTTTAAACGTCTAACAAGGAAAGAAGAGAAAAAAAAATCGTAAAATGGAAATTCAGGATTGAGTGAAAGAAAAATGTTTTTCTGCAGTATAGTATTGAGGGTAGTGCATAAAAAGGGAGAAACTCCCCATGCGGAGGAGTACTAGGTGATAACTAGCTCCTTATGTTACAGGGTAGCCCAGAGTGGGCTGGGCTGCCTGTCTGTGGGGACTCACCCATGCGCTCACAATTCAGTTATACTGCAGGTACACACAGAAGGGTCAATAATGGGTTTCTTTACAAAAAGGGAAAGGAATAGGAAACAACTCAGGGAAAGAGAGCAGGATACAAAGTAACTGGAATACCTTACCAGTTTGGCTATCTGAAAACACTGAGTCACGTGGTCCAGAGAGCCATTTCCCGAACAAGAGAGCGAGAGATGCAATTGTGCCCTATTTACCCGCCAAATGTCCCAGAATTCCTGCTAGCTCCGCCCTTGGGTCCTCGCAGTTCTCTCCCTGGCACTGCTGGGAGTTGTAGTTTCCAATCATTGGAGTAGGGGGTAGGGTCCAGAAAGCTGGAGTAGAGGGTGGAGTCCATAAGACTCTGCAGAGTTCCTTTAGGACATCCTTCCCCTTAACTCTTATATATCCCTTTGAGAGGCATGAAGGGTCATATTTATTTTCTTTTGGAGAAAGATAAGCATATTTTTATTGATTAATTTATTTTGATTGTATTGTTTTTAGTACAGTAATTTTCAACACTGTATGTGACTTAGGGGCATAGGTTCATGCTTCTGCGGGTGTAAGTCACAGCACACCTACCACCAAAATCGCTCACAGCCCTGTAACATGTGGTTCACTGGCCCCTCCCCCTGACTCCCCACTGCTCCCCCGCTGATAACCTTTACAATCCGATTTCCATGGATTGCTTTGGTTTAGCTTTTCTGTTCCTTTGTTTTGCTTCTCTGTATTCCTAAAACAGACACAACTCTGGAGGTTAGCAGGATCATGGGGGCTTCCCTCTGATGGTTTTGATTTCCAACGAAAGCAAATGAAGACTTTTTCTGTTCAGAGTGAAGCATAATATGTTAGGGTTTGAAGAAAATTTAGCCATTTAGAATTGTTTTTGTGAGAAATGTGGGAGGAGATTCATATGAGACCAAGGAAGAGTTAAAGAGATTTGAGAGAGCTACTGTGAACCTGGTTGGAGTGAGAAAACTGATTTCCATTCTATTTTTAGGTTGCTTTGACCTACTTTGAAATCTCCCAAATGCTCACAACTTTTGCGCTTTCTCCCTAGACCAATATTGTGAAGTCCTATGTAGTCTGCTTACCTCATAAAGAAAAAAAATTCAAATCTTATCCAACTCTAGGAACAAATTTCTTTATTTTTTAAATCACACCAAATAATGTTGTGAATGTGCAAATAAAGGAATCCTAGTTGCTTTATCTATCCTACATGGTCTTTTAATTGTATTTCCTTTCCAAGTAACATTATTTTTCAATAGGGTAATTTAGACAATATTTCTAATCCTAGAAGAGAAATACAAAGTTAGGTGAGCTTTCCATAGGGTAGGGGAAGCTGAGGCTAGCTAAGTGGACAGTGGATTTTGAAGAGCTCCTATTATCACATCACATAATTGGCCACAGATTGTATAAAATATATTTGTCTATATATGTAAGTACAATATTTACATTATTATCTACATTATAAATACTACCTAGGCATTAAGGTTATTTTTTCTTTCCTTAAAAAGCTAGAGAGAGGAGATTGGGTTGTGGCTATATAAATATTTCTCTCTCATTGCACAGTGTATAAAAATAAAATGACACTTTCAAAATACTTTAGTCTGAAAACTTTTCTATTACTCAGGCAAGCTCTGCTTAACTGCTTCCTTCGAGTTTAGTTTGTGATTTACTGGGACCATTTAGAGACAGCTCATATTTTCTAGACATACTGTAGATATTTTAATGCCTTAATCAATTTTTGCCACTTTAGTTCTTCTACTAGGCTAGATTAATCTTCCCCTAGGTTCCCAACTTTCAAAGAAGATCACTTATCAAAATCATCTTTACAGGAAAAAGTGAAGCTGCAATTAAAAAAAAAAACACACTCATCTCTCTCAAGTCATATATCACAAATATTGTTAACTATGATATAACAGCCTGTAGAATAAGAGTTAAAATAAATGTGTTCTTCAGTTCTGGAAACTATGTAGAATATTTTTTGCTTTTCAATTTAAGTCAACTTGAATTTTTTTTTTTTTACTCCATTGGTGTTTTATAATATGTTATTTCTAAAATAATACAGATGTCATGTGTGTCAAAATTGTGGTATGGGTGAGAATGAGATTTTTAGTGCAGGGAAAAGGGAAGCAAGTAGGAAAGGATATAGGAGACTGTACATCTCTCCCCAATATCTAATTTTTGAGGATATATTATTTAGTGGGATATTGTTTGCCTGCACTGGCTTATTTTTTGCACCGTGAGCTTCTTGGGGCTTTGTGACTCCAACATACATGTGTTCTGTTCTTTGGACAGCCGTCTTCCCTCTGTTTTCCAGGAAGGCCTCTGCTACCAGACAAAGGGACTGAGGAGGAAAGGATATAATGGCTTTCTCTCCAAGGGCAAATTGGATGGGCTAGCAATGTGGATTCTGACTCACCTCTCAAGGCAGCAGACCAAGGTACCTGACTCTTAAATTTTCCCTATGATGCCATTCCTCTTGGTTAACTCTCATTAAAGAACAAATAACATTCTTAATTCAGATAAAACTACTTCTTTAGGTCCTATTGAGGCTTATATTGATAAGTAGATATGTTTATGAACATAATTATTAGCCTAGCATTAGACTCAAAGAAATGGTTCAGAACACTATTAATAACTAATAATTCTTCAAAGAATGAAATAGAACTTGGGCCATCTCTAATGTAAATTTTAAATTATATTTTTCTTTTAAAAAAGATTTATTGTACACTCCCTGGTAGTGCAGCAGAAGCTAAAGCCACTAAGAAGCTAAAGCCACTTCAGCATGAGTTCGATCCCCGCCTGCCCAGGAGGTGACCACATGGCTCGGCAGACCTCTCCTGACCTGCCTGCTGCTCCCCTAAGGAGTGTACTTCGTCGATCTGCCTGTTCTGCTCCCCACTCTGTCTCTGGTGAATCCTCTCACCCTCTGCATCTCTGGCTTGTACCCCAGTTCTTTATGAATAAATAAATAAATCTTTTTTAAAAAGATTTATTTTATTTATTTATGTATACAAGAACTTGGGTGGAGGCCAGAGATGTGGGGGTGGGGCTTCACCAGAGATAAGAGTAGAAAACAGAATAGGAGATTTACTGAAACACACTGCTGAGGGGAGCAGCAGGTGAGAGAGGAGAGGTCTGCTGTGCCATGTGGGTCAGATCCCTGGTGGGGGAATCAAACTCATGAGGCAGTCGTTGGTAAAGACTTCAACCGCTGCAACACCAGGGAAGCCCAAAATTATATTTTCTTGAACCAAACTTCAATGTGAGAAAAATTTTTTTATTAATTTTTATTTTTAAAATTAAAAAAAGAAAAGATTTATTTATGCTTACAGAACTGGGGTACAAGCCAGAGGTGTGGTGGGTGAGAAGGTTCACCGGAGACAGAGTGGGGATCAGAACAAGCAGTTGTACGGAAATACACTGCTGAGGGGAGCAGCGGGCAGGTCAGGAGAGGTCTGCTACGCCATGTGGGTCAGCTCCCTGGCGGGGAAGTGAACTCATACTACAGTGGCTTCTGAGAGCTTCCTAATGCAGTGCTTTATACCTGCTGCGCCACCAGAGAGAGAGCCAATGTGAGAAAATTTTTTCTCTCTTCCCTTCTTTTAAAACAAAATTACTTAGACAGCAATATTTGCTACCATTCACTTTACAAGTTTCACTGATGGGAAATACAGTTCTGGCCAATGAATTCATTACTGAAATTTCAGTTTCTTTGGTGAGCTGAGACATACGCTAATTTTAGACAAAGATTTGAGAAAATTAGGAGAGATGGGTTCCTGTTGGGACTCCAAAGTTCCCTTTTTGAAGTCAGGCCCACAATCTCACTGGACCTCAATTCCTCCGAAAGGAGGAATCCAAATGAAGTGCTGACTGAGGTGTGTCCATGCTTCCAGTCTCTGGAAACCTTGGTCTGAAGTAACAGCTCCAGCCATTCAAAAGGGGTTGCAACAAAGAAAACTGACGAGGTTTTATTAAAAGGCCACTCCTTTGACTTCCCAATGTCTCTGATTTATAATGAAGCATTTTCTCAATGCATGTGGCCAGGTGAGTGGATGTTTGCTTTCCTCGCTTTTTTACACTCAGGCCTGCCAGGTGCAGCGGTGGGCGTCTGCGGGAATGCACTGATGTCCACCAGAAGGGAAACTTGTGATCACCACCCAGAGAACAAAATCTGACAGATGGGAGACATCAGAAGGGGTGTTGGTGTTCTTTCCTGCTTTTGTGTCACTAGGTTGCATGTTTGGAAGCCCATTGGTAGGTTCATCCGAAATCTGATGCCGTCTTTCGAAAGCACACTGTTAATGATACGCTACGTGAACGTGTTTTCCTTTTCTGCTCAGCAATTTGTATAGGCTTTCTCCTTATTTGTCTCTTGATAACCTCATCAATCTCATCCATGCCCTTCTGACCACAGTGCTTGATTGCAGTAATTCCATTTTAGGGGCGGGGGTGAGTGGGGCCGGGGGCACTTTCAAGAGGACTGGGCTTTTGCATTTAGCTACAGCTGCAGGAGAGTGATCATTTCTTCTCGAGAGTGAGTCGCAGAGATCATATTATGCTTGTCTTGATTTCTTTGTAAAGGCTGCCTATAGAATTTCATATTGATTTTAAGCTGGCGCTGTTTCATTTTTAACTCCTTTGTAAGCCAGGAGTCCAGTTATATTAGTGTCTCCTCCCTGTCATTCTGACAGGCCTTGGTTATCTGCTTTCTGCCGGCTCTGCTCTCTAGTGCCGGGTAGCTCTTTAGGTGGGTAACTTGTTGCCTTTACTGTTTTTATGTTGTTGCTTTGTTTGAAAAAGACAGAGCAGTGTAAGCAATTTTCAACAGTAAAATGCATTTTTAAAATACTTTGTAAATGAATAAGTAAAGCACTTCAAAAAACAGAAGTTTGCAGAAGGTGGACTCATACACTGAGGACTCACCAACGCTTGGGTTGCCTTTCGTTGCTCCAGGGAGGCTTTTGTGCAAGAACTGAGGTTTGCTAAGCAATGTGAAGCAGAGCCCAGTTGTCACTGCAACAGTGAGAAATGGCTACAGGTGTAACTTATTCAAAGCATCCCTCAGTTTCAATGCTGATCAATTGGCTGCCCTCCAGAACCTCAATTTGGTGTCGTTTGGCATAAAGTCTGACCTAAAGCAATACAGATCTCTAAATGGCACCAATACCAATGGCACCATCTTCTGCAGTGTCTCAGAATTTATAAAGTTTTCAAATGTATTGTCTCACTTACTCTTCACAAACGCCCGGTCACACAGGTGAGCAGGTATTAACTTGTCCATTTTAGAGGCAAGGACACAGAGACCAAGAGAGCACAAATTAGTCAATCATAAATGTCTGAAAGAACTGAAGTGGAGTTACAGTTTCCTAACAGCAAACTTGTTGGTCTTTAATTTTGTGGTAATATCATGTTATGCAAGCCAAAAACATAACTTGCATAGTCTTTGCATTGAATACAATTCCTTATTTATTTCCTTGTCTTTGTACTTTCGGATTTATCTCCAGCACAGCAGAGTTACTTTGATCACAAAGGAGAATGACAGAAATCAAGGTCTCCATGTTAAGCATATTATTCTTAACTGCTTAAGAGAATTTTCCCACTGGATTGCCCTATTGTATTTTAAATTTTATTTGAGCTCTATTTTCTCGTCTGTAAAGTGAGGGGTTAGGCTATGTTCCTCTTATTCTATGGTACTGTGATTAGGAGAATGGGAGGTGAAGAAAGAAGCAGGGCTGCCAGTGAATATGATTATCACAGGATCACAAGTACAGCGCATTATGCGTGTTTTAAAACTGGGTATAGTATTTATATTCAAAAGTGTTTCCTTATGAATTACCTCCATCCGTCAGTGTACTGTTTAGTCTTACTGCAAACATCATTCTTACACAAATCCAAATCATTTTGTTTGTCCTCCATATAAGGTACTTAAATTTTTCAAAATGTGTTTATGTCCAAAGACAAAATGTTTAATTTTATACAATTCTCTCAGTTGATGTAGGGCTTTATGAGATTGACTATAAATATCCACTAAAATACTTACATTTTCCCCCCTAATCTTGGCTTTCTGAGTGCTACAGCATTAGCAATCATTTTTAATTTGGTGATTCTATAGCCTCTATTTAATGTCGACTGCTGTACTTGAAACCAAATTATGTATATCAAGGTTTAAAAACAAATGAGCTTTGAAAAGATGTATAGTGGATTCAGTAACTTCTCTTTTCAAAAAATTTCAAATTTTTAGTGAGATACATATACATTTCATATTTTGATAATTTCCCCTATTGCATATGACTAACCTGATTATACACAGAAGTCATTTGCTGAATTATCTCTAAGTTGGCAAAACTAGAGCAAGTTAACTTAGGCACTTAGAACTTACTAGATCCATAAAAACATTTAAATAAATGCTGACTTTTGATTGACTTTTGGGTTTCACATTGCGAGCTGTAAATATGGACTGTAGAAATCAGTCATCAATATCAATGAAACAAGTAGCACAACAGAAAAACCACTTAAATGCATTTAAGTTGTAAAACTTTTTCTTCAAATTTAATTTTTATAAAGCTTCTAGTAAATTCCCAGGAATAAGCTTGTAATTTGAGCTTTTAACTTTTTGTTCTTAATACATCTAAATAAATAGGAACTGAAATTGCAAGGACACTTAAGGCTTAGTTTCTGATTATGATTTCTAATACTTCATGTGCAGAAGTACAAACACAGGCTACAAGACTTTGTCAACTTTTGTGAATTATTTAATCAGAGAATTTACTGCTGCAAAAACCACCAGGCCAAATTACTTGTTCCCAAGTTATCTTTTTTTTTTTTCCCCTACCACTTAGTGGCTTTATATTCCATCTAATTAGATCATAAGATAGATGGATATGATCAAAATTTGTGAAGAGCAAATATATCTGCTCTTAGTCATAGTCATGGTTACATCTGTGCATAACCAGGCAGTGCTTTATCTGAACTTCATTAATTGGCTTGGAAGGGTCCAAATGTCTATGCCTGAACCTCACTCACCTCCTGCACACGTCGTGCATACAAATGTCCCTCTGTGAACCTTTCTCACCTCCTGCACACATTATGGGTTATATCAGATGGAACTGTTACTACCTTTCAGTGTGCTAAGAGTTGCTTTGAGTCTTTGAGTGTATTCCTATTGAAACTTGGAAGATGTAAGCTGAAATTAAAAATCTATGTTTGAAGAGGTACCTGAAGTTATAAGAACCCAGCCTGGAGCAGCTACAGCCATTGTGGCACTATGGCCAGAATTTGGGAGCTTTATCTTCAGTGTCCTCTGAGTGTTTTATAGGCACATCAACAGGTAATGATAGAGCATTATTTTTCTAGTCTACCTGCTTTATTCCTCAGCTGACTGTCTGTAGATCTTGCTCC